GAGAGAGAGAGAGAGAGAAGACTTACATTCTTTCTCTAATATTTCCTTCCAGGCTGACTCATCGATAGAAACTGGGAAGAGCTACAGAGGAGAAGCCAAACAAGCAAGCTGATAACTCAAAGAAATACTCTTTTGAGGAGGGGGTTCAGAGTGGAGCCATCATGAGCGATGTTACCATTGTGAAGGAAGGCTGGGTTCAGAAGAGGGGTAAGTTCTAGATATTGATGGAAAGTTCTTCCTATGTATAGTAATGTGTGCACAGTGGCAATATATAGTCACACATGTGAGCATTTTTGGTATATTTTCCACAGCAAATGGATCTGACCTTGTAAACACTGCCTGTGCTTATAGGGGTAACCAGCAGTAAATAGGAAGCTGGCCTTGGTATTTCCTAGTTAACCTTGCTGCTGCAGCTGCTGTCACCCGTGTATCAGGCTAAGCAGGCAGTGGTGGCACCTGTAAGAAGCAGTAACAAAGGTGCTGGAAACAAGATTACCTGGAAGCTGTTGTAGATGCAGTGCCTTGGGTGGAACTTCCTAGATGCTAAAATCATTGACCTGGGCTAAGCTTGTATTGCATATGCAAGTAATCCTAATAAAGTCAGTCTACAACTTGTATAAGGCTCAGCATGTACCTAATTACTTTGCAGACCTGGAAGCCATATGAGTAAAAAACATGGTCCTAATTATTGCTTACTCTAAAGCATGAGTTTCTGTTACATTTAAATTCCTGTAAATTCTTGAAATATCATTTTATAATCTGTTACCATGTGATTTGTAAATTTGGGCAAGTTATTGTGCTTTGATGAATGGGAAACCTCTAGAAGTGTTTGGTGTTTGTATCCTATAGTGAACTTTGGATGAAGTTCACACCTTGTTTCATGCTGTTCTGCTTTGTGTGGTTATGCACATATTTGTTTTCAAAAGAGCATCATTTCTGCTTGCAGAGAGAATATGATCTGGATTAAAAGGCTATTTATGCCATTACCTTCTGTGATTCTAGCACAGAAAGTTTTAGTCTGGAATATTGTGAAGGAAATTATCCTTTAATTTACTGAGAAATGCTTATTTCAATAGCAATGTGCAAAGACAAAGGTCCTTATCAGCTTTTTATTACTGTAGACTGACATTAAATGTCAAAGAAGCCAGTTGAACTGGAAAGAAGATTTGTTATTCTGCTTCCCTGTACATTGTATTTCAGGATGCATTATGCATAGTGTAGATGAAAATATGCTAGACTATGTGAAGCTTAAGGTCTGATTTCTGTTTTAGAGTTCGTGTGTGTATAAAATCAGATTTTGCCTGACATTAACTATTTAAAATTTTAAATCACTTTTCCTTTCCACCTTGTTTTCTGTRCAATTTGGATATCTGATTTTCTGTGTGGATTATTTCACATAATTTCTTTCAAATATATGAGAAAATGATCACAATGTTTGAAACAGTTGTCTCGTACATAACAGCAATTTCTTYGCATAGTTTTATTCACTCTCATCTAAACCTTGGTATCAACTCTGTGAGCACCTGATGTCCATGTTTTGAGCACTGGGATCCAGGAAGGGTCTATACTTTTGCGCAAGGAAGCAAAATATCTTGCTGAATATCTGAAAATCTGAAATGCAAAATAAAGGTTTTCATTGTCATGTTGTTTTATGCTCTGTTGCTTACAGAAAAGCCTACTAAGTTGACATTTTGATGTGAATTATTAGTAATTATTTTCTAAGTAAAGATGTTTCATGACATACCTTTTTCCTTATTTTTGTTAACTTTGAGCAAATATTCTGTGGTTTCTTTTCCTCCTTGCTATAGGTAACTTTCTGTGTTTAGGTGAGAGTTTTTTATTAGATCTGATCTTCTGCTTAGAATTTTCTGTATGTAGCTTATTCTGTTTATTGATGAATGAAGTGTTCATGTTTACTTATTTCTGAAAACAAAGGAATGAAAACAAAGCAGTAGTGGTTTGATGTATCAAAAGCCTGTAAGCATTTAATTCAAGTTATGCATTACATTTAATTTGCAATTTTTACCTTAACCATGCTTTAAAACAAGAGAGTCAGAGTTGTTAAGCGTTTAAGCATGTATATGTATATATACGTTAATATATTTGTCTGTTTAAAAAGCAGTACTTATTTGTATGTGCGTGCGCACACACACACACACACGAATTACTGTTGCCAGGAAAAGAATCTAAATTCTAAAAGATGAAATTCATGTGTGTTCTGTAGATGCTTCTGATTTTGGCCGCTAAATATTCTCTCTGTACCAAGAAGCATCAGGGGGTTGGGTAAACTGTGGTGCTAACATACTTTTAAAGTTGATGCTCTAATCAGCTCCACTTCTCCACTTGACGCTCGTTAGTTTGTTTCACGGAGTAGTTTTGGCTTGTACAGACTAGGTTCCTCGTGTAGGAATCTGAACTGGTAGCTCCTCTCCAAGTGTGCACCACAAGGAGTTCCCAGCCCTCCTCTGAGACATAAAGGTATGAACCAAGTATTGGCCCTTTGGACAGCGGTGGATCATGTGCATGGTGGACCAGATTGAAAAGATGTGGTATAAAAGTAGGAGCCTCAGCACCAGCTGATTCTTTTGACTGACTGTTTCTGTTAGGCTTCTACCTGCTACTTGGTCATGTGGACACAGCCTAGGATTTTTTWAAATTGTTCCCTTCAGCAGGCTGGAAGGGTTGTGATCTAAGGAACAGAGAAGAGATATAATCTCTTTCTGTGATTTTAGTGCCTAGGCAAGGAATATGAGAAAGATTTGAAAATGCYGAGATGAAGAGCTGTGTTGAAGAACTTGGCTAACAATGTAGGAGATTGTAAAGGGGAGTTAAGTGAATGGAATACAGGGATGAGAGGGGAGGTCCCTGTCTGAGTTGAGACTCAGAGCAAGGCTGGGGAGGAGAGTAGAGCTAGAGCACAGTAGTGGAATTGCTAATGTCAGTGAAATGTTCCGAAAAGACATTTGCTTTATTCTAGTGTAGTATCCGTATCAAAAGTAGAGAGGCTAAGGACAATATGTCTGTAACTTGTTATTTTAATCCTGTTATTGGGCACTGGAAGAATTAATGTGATTCCACGTGAGTGGCCTGAATGTTCTATTTTTCAGTGCGTGTTTAATTGATTGACCCTAAGAAATTCCATATGTATCTATATGGATACTATACTAAAGCGTTGCACTTCTGAAAACATTCAGTGCTCAAAATTAAGCAGCAGAATTATGTTTACTTAATTAAGGATAATCGTGCCGTGACACTTTGATTAGTCTTTATTTGACTTGTTTTAGCTTGACAGGAGTAGGCAATATCCAGAAAAAGTAAGTTCCTGCATTTGAATGGCCAGGCTAGTAGAGATGACGAGCTACAGGTAGAAATGTTGAATAGTGCAAGAGGTGAAACCCAAGAGGGAGCAAAGCCTGAGAAACTTAGGAGCAGTCAGGTCACATCTCGTAGAAGAAAGGAGACCTTGGAGGGTCCTCCAGTGGTTGGGTCCTCCTGAGTAGATGATGGAGTCCAGAGCCAGCAGATCCAAGGAACAAAAACATGGTGCTGACAACCTGATACCTGTAGGATTGTAAGACCCATCTGCTCATGTACCTGTCAGCATTTGCAGACCTCCTGGAGTGCATCTCATGTTTTATCTGAAAGCACTGTGTTTGTGCACTCTGAGGCTGTTTCCCAAAGCAAACCAAAGAGTAGGAAGTAGGATGATGRGTAGGCTTGTGGCAGAGGTGCTCTCTTTATCTACAGTGAAGTACTAATATAGATGTACTCTATTAGGCATCCGAGCTTGACCAAGGGTGGGGGCCAAGTACTGTAGGACACTTTACTGTGATACACAGTACCTGTCACCTACTGTGATAAACAGCTGAACAGCATCTTAAAGTGGACGCTGCACTGCCAGGAGAGTAGTGGAAATATATTTGATACAGATGCTTGTGTGGTTTTCTGTGACAGGCTGTCTCAGATCTAGTGAAGAGAGAGAGAAAAAAAAAAAGTGTCTTGGGGCTCTTTGTCTGATGCTGCTTGGAATTTAGTGACCCAGTGTTAAATTTTGGCGAGGATAACCATTTTCCTTTCTTCTTTCTGTTCCCCAGGTTTTCCTGTAGCCAGTTTAGAAAAGAGATACATTGTCTTCCTATAGGAGTTTCCTTTGTAGGTGATACTTGCTTTCTGTCATTCTAATGCGTATAGATGAAAGAGAAGTGATCTTGACTAAAAATTGAAAAGTACTGACCCAAACCTTGCTGCTGACATGCAGGAAAAGAAACATATATTTATTATGCATACAATTAGTGCAAGGACTCTGGAGTGATTACTGAAATTGCCTTTGCATTTTGGGGTTGCTTAAAGCACAGTGTTTTACAAAGTGTCATCTTTAAACTATTACACAATTCAGTGTTTTGAAACGAGTAAAAAATGAACGGGTTACAGGGAATATGTTTTAAATACAGTAGTTTCAAAACAGCTATTTTTTAAGTGGATGGCAGGCTTAATATGAATAGAGCTGTATCACTACTAAAGATGTTTTTCATCTATCCAATTTGGGTGATATTTTTCTTTAAAGTTTCCCAAGTTGCAGAGTTGACCTCATCTATGGTCTATAATAGTCACAACAATTAGATTTAACAATCATTAATAACTATGCTTAATTGCAACCTAGTTTCTTTATAAATTACCTGTGCACAAGATTTCAATTAGTTCAACATATGAAAAGTTTTAMGAGTCTTTGTAATCATGTTACTGAAAGATTATTTGAGACAAAGGAAAAACCAACACAGATGCCAACTGTTTTAAAGGACCCATTTTAAATTAAACATGTCAACTAGCATTTTCTTTTATCAAAACAGTAAGGGTTTTTTCATTTGGGGAGAATATACCTAATGCATATTGCATAACAAGATGGTTAAATCATTATTTTAAAGACAGAACAAAATGTTCTTGGGTTAGTACTTCTGTTGTTACTTCGGTTACCAGACTCTGTTGGGCTCCCGCATTCATTCGGGTTAAATTCTTCTCTCTTACTTTCTAGATTGATACTCCAGAATGATATATCCAGATTATTTCTGCAGTCCAATCTGTGCCACTGTTGCTTTTGGAAATGAGCTTTGAAAGAGTGTGCATTTAGTTTGAAACAATTTRCATGATGTTATTCTTTTTGATTTCTTAAATTTCAACATTATTCATCAAGGAGTACACTAATTTCATTT